TAACAACTGTGTGGTATACTGGAGACGACTAGGTCGTATGTCTAAATGATCCGCTAAGGCGGTGATAGATGAGTACTAGATAGTACTACTCTTAATGCCATCTTGTTCCACATACATGCTGATGGCATGTTCGGGCTCATTCGGCCAAACTGCGACCAAAATTAGGGCTCTAAAACGTCCGTCTCGTAAGACGGGACGGACCTTTACGGCCGTTTTGGGGCCACCCGTCCCGTAAAGCTGAGTTCCAGACGGACGGGTCCCGGGGGGAATTTTTTTATGTTGAACAATTCTGTGAGCCTAAAAATCTCCATTTCCGTGTATAAACCTCCTTAAATGACCCTTGCCTGACCCATACATTTTTCATTGGCATGTTCCACGTACCAGAGACGAGAAAGCTTCACTATGGATGGTCTAAGCGGGCGGCTATCAGTATCTCGGAGAATGCCGATCATTGCTGAGCCAGTAAATCAGCGAGAAAACATTGATTTCCGCTAGGTTCGGATCAAGCCTGCCGTTCAATTGCTTGTTGATGCGTGTTGATGCGGGCTCAAACAATGGAAGGGGCTTGTGCCAAGATAAGTGAAAAGGGCAGGACCTTCCTCACGTCCTAGAGCATTCAAAACCGCGTCAAACGCCTAGCGGTTTTGAGGCGACTTTTCATTTTTTAGTCAACTTAGACTTTGGCTGGCTCGCATTTTTCACAGTAGACCCAAATAAAGTGTAGAATGGCTCTGATGTGAACACTCTTCAAAATCTGAGTCCACCCATAATGCCATTCTCCAGGCCCAAGTTGAGAATCTGAGCTGGTAATATCCTTCAGTTTCTATCCAAACTCCACTTTCTTTCGTTGAATGGCTTGAATTGTGCAAGATGAGGGTACACCAAGGCAAATTCTGACTCGCTTGAATTCGTCGGTCGTATTTCCGTTTTGGGAATGATCGGCAAAAGCTCGCAACTTTTTATATCTTATTCGATGGCTTCCACACAACCTCAGAACAATTCTGAAGAGGCAGAAGTTCTCAATTTTGATATTACTTTCAATAGAGGCCATAAAATCCCCAGTCCAGAACACTCAGATTCCCACACTGGGTCGAATTGGTTCTACACGAGTGACGCGCGATTACGTCTATGAGGCACAATATTTGGGTAATAAAATCTGGAATCATAGCCATATCATTCTTAGGCATATAAGATATGATTTGGCTGCTTAGATTTGAGACAGAAAGAAGAGGTGACATCGCAAAACATATTCAAAGGTCCTCACTATTTTGATTAGTTTGTCCCAAGCCTCTCTCCGAGATTGTCCGGCTCGCCGGACCGGAGACAGGCTTGCTCCGAACCTAGATTTCCGCGGTTTTCATCCCAAACTGGATCGCTTAACCTCACCGGACACAACCGAGCCGTTGCCGAAAGCCTTTTGACAGCTTTTAACTCAGTTTCTTCCCAGATTTAACATCCACCCGTAGACCCGTTCACGGCCGGGTACGGGTTGCCCGTAGACGGTTCGACCCGTCCCGTACCCGTTCCGTGCAAACCTCTCCCAAACTGCCCTACGGACGGGGCCGTTCCCGTAAAAACGGGCCGTAGACCCGTCGAGAACGGGAACGGATGAGAGCCCTAACCAAAAGCCATGCGGGAAATTTCTGAACTTTGCATCGCAGGTTGGTAGAACATAGATTGTAACAGTTTGAGTGGATATGAGGCATCCGTCTTTCAAGGGAGGGTGGGATGCAAAAGACGTGACAAAATCGTATGACCCGATGGCATGCGAATTGCCCCGGACGTTCTGGAGGCTTCATTTTGCAAACTCCGACCGGAAATGCCATATCCGAACGATCGAATGACTGGTAACGAGACTACACCCGGCCGCCCGGCGCGATCGCGGTGTTAGAAATCTGAAAGCCCGGCCAAGGCTGTATCCCTCTTGACTTCCTTCCTTAATGCGCCCCTTACAACGCCCAGAAAGCCTTCACAGTTGGTGGTCGGATAGTAACTCGCTTGGCGCCACGATTCCCCTCCACACGCTTGCGAAGCCTCTATCGAGATTCTTGCACCGTCGACAGGTGTCGAGGATCATTTCTCAGCAGCGCTCCTTGCCGCTTTCGAAAGAAAATTTGGACATTATGTTGTGTTATCTCGAGTCAGCATATCAACAGACTCCATTTGTTCTGTCTTCACTGGCGGTCATGTAGAACGGACTCGGAGAAGTCTCAGTCTCCACAAAATTGGCAGTTCTGCAGAATCTCACTGCCAGGGCCAAAGCTGAAGCACGAACTATGGCGGAGGAAACTACCCTTCCTGTACTCATCTGACTGCTCGATTCTCGGGAGCCCAAAATTGTGGAGTCTGTCCGCTCTCTCTTAGGAAGGTCGCCGCCTTTGCAAGATATTTTGGACACTTTTATCGGTCATCTCGAGTAAGGGTTAATAGATTCGTTCTCGTTCTTTTCTCACGGTACCGTAGTGCCCAGGACAATTCAACCACCGTGAAACAGTTGATTCTTCAAGATTCGTCTTCTTCATTCTCCAGAGTCTGACATTGTAGACTCCGTCTGCACTCTGTTTAGAAACCTTTCTATATGGGAATCTGTGAACACGGTGGCTGTTCCTCTGGCTCCCTGCAAGCAACTTGTTTCCCTTGCAACGTGAGGATTCCCTCTCGATTCAACCTTCTGTGCCTGCCGCATTTTGGGAGATGTTGCTCGATGGGAGTTTCTGATGATCACGACTGAATCCAATGCATACGCGTACCTGGATTCACTTCTGGAGTGAGCGAGACTGATTTACGCATATTCAGGGTACTGATTATCGTGGAAGGCATCCTGATCGATTCGTTCAAAAGGAAGCGCTGTACGCTCTGACTCGCATCCACGAGACGTCGGAGGCCCAGAAGCAGGCAACGACCCTGAGTTCAAGCAACCAAATTCCCGTGGAAACCTTCGTGATCAATATTCTAAACGAAGCTTGTGTCGAATCATGCCAGTCAAGACTTGCTTCAGTCCTTAAGTGCGTGGGATTGTTTCTGGAATTTGAGCAGGCTATACTTTGATTTACCATAGGCATGCTGACCTCTCGTTCCTGCTCTCCGTTTTGAATTCGGAAAATGCTATCCTAGTTCGGGTCGCAACAGTTGAAATCGAGTATATCAGTCAATTTGAAGCTGGTGCCAGAGCCGTAGGCACTTCAAATCTGCTCTGCCGGGTCATCGAGTTGTTGGAAAACCAGGATCCCTCAATTTTGAAAGCTGCATGTCGCATCCTCACCGAGGTCGCCCATTTCTGTCGAAATGAGGTTATGGAGCTCAATCCATATGGCCAGCTCATTTCACTTTTCAGGTCTTTGGCGGCATACCCCTAGCTCATGATTAGGAAATCACTGACTATTTCTCGGATAGTCATTCAGACCAGTCTATTGAAGCCATGGCCATACATACTCTCTATCGTATATACTTCAATACGGCCGAAGTTAAACATAGCGCGATGCACGTCCTGGCTCAGCTGCTGCAGTCTGCCGACCTCCGTCTCGCTCCTATGGCCGGCAACATGCTACGAACCATGGCACGAAATCCTACTTCGCATAGGGAGATTGTGTAGTCGGGCTGTTGTGCACATATTACGCTGCCTCTCAAGTAACGTCCAACCGCCCTTACCTCCCCAATCAATTCTTGATTGCCCTTCAGAAGCAGTTTAGTCGTTTACGCCCTTTCGACTTGCCAGAGCCTTAGCACGTCTGAAATCGGGGCTTCTGCTTTACTCAACGCGCACATGGTCGACAACCTCATCCTACTGCTTGAGTCTGGTAATGCAATCCTTTATCGAAAACAGATCTGCCGGATAGTCGGAAGCATTGCGCGTCATCCGCCTCTACGTGCGATTGCACTTCAACTACAGTCTGAGTCACATAGATGGATATCCCCATCTGTGGTATGGCACGTCACACTATCTTACTCTATCCTGTAAACCATTCCTGATTATATCGTTTCAAGGTCTCCTCAAGAGAGCGGTGTGAAGGAGGCAGCAGACTACACTCTTTCCACCTTAATCACTAATGAAATACAACCCGAAATCCGCGTTGTGGGCGAGTCAGAAAACGAACCCGTGACTCAGGAGGGAGTGGGAGAAGAGAGGGCAGAGTGACAACGATTGTGATGATTGAAAGATTTTTCATAGGCTTCAGGGTTCCATGAGTAACGTTGTACAGTAACTGAACTTCATCCGACATTTTTCAACCAATTTTGAGTTTCCTAGCACGTGCTTGGTGGGAGGAGTTCACACCGGGGGCAAAGCCTGACGCACCTGGATTCCAGGTGCGTCTGAGGCATGTGCTCTGCAGGTGACATCAATCGGATAAAGAGGCCGTTGACTGACGTGTGATCCGGATGCACAAAGTAAAATGTATTAGATAATTAGATAGCGCAAACGTATGTGGTTGGTTATAAGCACTTAACATTTCCTTTGACCTCTTAGATTGTGTTGGAGTACCGCTGGAGTCCCATATACTGAGTGCTTTTTATAGTGAGCCCCGGGTAAGCTGCACCAAAGGTCTAATTATGTGTAGAAAACAGTCCCAGATCAGACCTTTAGTGTGCCTTCCCCAGAGCTCACCAGAGCATGGCCTCGGTGTATGATATCCACAAGGTACTTCACTGAGGTTTGAATGGTCGAAGAGAATAGTAAGGCCTTATAATCAACAAGATTTCCTCATACTATCTAATTATTCAATACTTTTTACTTTGTTCATCCGGATCACATGTCAATCAACGGCCTCTTTGTCTGATTGATGTCACCTGCAGAGCACATGCCTCAGACGCACCTGGAATCCAGGTGCGTCAGGCTTTGCCCCCAGTGTCAATACTTGCATTCTGGATGCTCTAAATTTGAGTTTCAAAAGTAGAACGAAGTTTTGGTAACCTACAAGGGAACTATTCTCACTTCACTCAGACAGTGGGAATTTCGTCCTAAAATCTTTCTACATTCGCGACTTGCGAACAAGGAAAAATAATGGGACGTGGTGTACGGTGCACGGCCGCATTCAATTAGGAATTGGGCATCATGACGGTGAAGCAGCACGTCGGGGTTCGACTCCCCGCGTCCCAATGCGTTCTTCAAGCTTTTCACATTTTTTTGTTTGTTATTTCCTCGCTGGCAAGTTCTTAAATTTCGCTGATATGAATGAAATGAAAGGAATGAGCGAGGGGAATACATAGGACGCGGTGCACGGCATTCAATAACCCGGAATGTTCAGATTTCAAATGTAATGTTCAAATAAGTACCGCGCTTTTTGTTTCCCATTTCCATTTCTTCGCCCACAAGTTCACAGATTCCGTTGTACGGTGCACCGCTGCATTCATGTAGCTTTCAATGAAGAAGTTAAGAAGCAGGTCGGGGTTCGACTCCCCGCGTCCCACATATGGAGAAATGTCTTGTTTTTATCTCTCTTTTTCGCGGGATTGGACGCTCTCAAAATCAGGACCCTCGTATAAATCCAAGTACCACAAGGCAAGCGGGAATGGGACGTGGTGTCCGGCGCACCGCTGTAGCAGGTCGTCATATTTGAACAAAATTTGCAGCAGGCCAGGGTTCGACTCCCCGCATCCCACTTCGTTCGTTCCGACTTACAATCGTAAACTAGGAAGCGAAACGCAATGTAGAAGCGAAACGATGCGCCGTTCGGTAGCTATTGGCTATCTGATGGACCCGAAATTTTGGGAGATGAATCTATGGCATCTGAAGTCTCTGTCCACACAAGAAATTGTGTCAAAAGCTTTTGTGCCTGTCGCGCAATCCCATTTCGTTTCTCGCATTCTATTTGGCATGTAACGCATTGCAGGACACCAGATTCTGCCCGTGGTGCCAACAGAGTGTTTTGAGGTTTATGATTGCGAATATGGACATCCAGAAGGTCTAGGGTGCAAGGGTGTCGCATATTCGATTACTTTTCAATGTTTCGCTTCTACGTTATTTGGCTAAACTTGGGTTTCGAGAAAGAACGCCCTCGTTCTCCACCTAAAACAGTACGGATTCTCATGATTCCTTTTCCTACCATGTAGCAAGGTGTAGCATGAATCTATCACAAAATATTACATGCTTATGACATTATTCAGCCCGCGATTGCGGGCACGGCTTGTGCGTTTCGCTTTCTAGTTTACGATTGTATCTTTTAGTTGAGGAAATCAACTCCCCTCGTCCCAACTATGCATGGTTCAGATGTTATGTTTTTGTGCAGGCTCTAAAAAGCCTGAACAACATCTATTCACACGTCCGACATAGGAAAATGCTCTATGAATAGTTGAAGTTCGAGCGATTCTTCTGGCGCCAATTCCTCCAGAAGTCTTGCATATATTTGGGTTAAGATATAAATGAGGAAAGGGACGTGGTACGGCGCACCGTTGCCTCGACTCAGATATCACGAGGTGGATTATTGGCAGCAGGTCGGGGTTCGACTCCCCGCGTCCCACATTTGGCAACCGCATCTGAAACTTTTTTTTTTCTGGTGGGAAATCCAAGTACCACAAGGCAAGACCGCTGCCTGGACTCTAATGTCGCAAGGCGGATTACCGGCAGCATGTGGGGGTTTGACTCCCCGCGTCCCACATAAATAACTGGCCTACACGGTATTCTTTTGACTGGCAAGGATTTATTTCCTCGCTGCTGTTCTTGAATTGCGCTGGTATAAATGCAAGGAATGAACTAGGGGAATAAATGGGACGTGGTGTACGGTGCACCGTACATTCAGTACGGTAACTATATCCGATGAATTTGCAGCAAGCCGGGGTTCGACTCCCCGCGTCCCACATGAAGCGTTAGGGGTATTTTTTGTTTTGTTTCGCATTTACTCGACACAATGTTCCAAAATTCCACTGATATAAATGCAGACAACGAGAGACGGAAAGAAATGAGACGGGGTGTACGGTGCACCGCTGTATTCACTTGGCTTTCGTTGAAGAAGTTAAGCAGCAGGTCGAGGTTCTGAATCGACTCCCCGCGTCCCACATATGGAGAAATGTCGTGAAGTTTTATCTCTCTTTTTCGCGGAATGGACGCTCTCAAAATCAGGACCCTCGGAATGGGACGTAGTGTACGGTGCACCGCTATATTCAGTAGGCTTTCAATGAAGTTAAGCAGCAGGCCGGGGTTCGACTCCCCGCGTTCCACCTACAGAAATTATCAAGACCGTTTTCTTTTGACTGGCAAGGATTTATTTCACTCGCCCGCAATTTCCCAAATTCCACTGATATGAATGCAGGGAAGGAGCTAGGGGAATGAATGGGACGTGGTGTACGGTGCACCACTGCATTCAATAATGTCACATAAAGTATCATGAGCAGCAGGGCGGGGTTCGACTCCCCGCGTCCCAATGCGTTCTTCGAGCTTTTCATATTCTTTTGTTTTGTCATTTCCTCGCTGGAAAGTTCTTAAATTCCGTTGATATGAATGCAAGGAATGGACGAGGGATAAATAGGACGCGGTGTGCGGCATTCAATAACCCGGAATGTTCAGATTTGAACAGCAACAAGCCGGGGTTCGACTCCCCGCATCTCAAATGTAATGTTCAAATAAGTACCGCGTTTTTTGTTTCCCATTTCCGTTGATATGAATGCAAGGAATCAACGAGGGAAAGAAATGGGACGTGGTGTACGGTGCACCGCTGCATTCAATTGTGACGGCTAGTCCGCGACTGCAGCAAGTCGGGGTTCGACTCCCCGCATCCCACCTGAGTAAGAAAGTCGTCTCTCTGATTCCCGCCCCCCCCCTTTTTTTTCGGGGGAAGGATTTCGGTCTTTAGATGGGTCCAGTCTTACTCTGAATATGATATAAAATATAAATGTCAGTTAACTGTGTCCTGGCATTCATTTTGCGATCCCAAATTCCTAAATTTCGTGGTGCAAATGCAGCTAACGAACTAGGGGAATAAATGAGACGTGGTGTACGGTGAACCGCTGCATTCAATTGTGACGGCTAGTCCGATATTGCAGCAAGTCGGGGTTCGACTCCCCGCATCCCACATATGGAATGTCTCGTCTTTTTCGCGGGAATGGACGCTCTCAAAATCAGGACCCTCGTATAAATCCAAGTACCGCAAGGCAAGTGGGAATGAGACGTGGTGTACGGCGCACCGCTGCTTCAGTTAAGGAGTAAACCTTCAAAATGACATGCAGCAAGCCGGGGTTCGACTCCCCGCGTCCCACCTAAAACTGTGCGAAGACCGTTTTCTTTTGTCTAGCAAGGATTTATTTCACTCGCCCGCAATTTCCCAAATTCCACTGATATCAAGGCCGGCAACGAACTAGGGGATTAAATGGGACGTGGTGTGCGGTCAATTATGACGGGTAGTCCGATATTGCAGCATGTCGGGATTCGACTCCCCGCATCTCACATATCCTACTTTTTCGCCTCTTTTTTGGCTGGGAGGAATTCGATACACGCAAGATTCTGAATGACCTAAATGTGACGAACGTGCAACTATTCAATTGTAATTTTCGACAAATAGTTGAATTATTCTCAATCCCGTCTATGTTGATTGTACCCCTGGAAATCATGGTACATTGCCGACGAGCGAGCAAGGGAAAAGAATGGGACGTGGTGCACGGTGAACCACTGCATTCGATTCGCAAGACACATGGGCTACAGTGAAGCAGCAGGCCGGGGTTCGACTCCCCACGTCCCACATATCTAGGCCGAACCGCTGAGCGGGCTTTTTTGCCTAGGCTGGTAGTTTGTCCTTGAGAAGGTCTTATGAAAAATATGATAGGCGAGCCAAAGCACCGGTCCCTATTTCGTCATGGAATCTGGTTTTCTAGGAGTTATTATTTGCATCTTCCTTACCCGCAAATTCTTAAATTTCGCTAATATAAATCCAGGGAACAAACAAGCAGAACAAATGGCACGTGGTGTAACGTGCACAGCTGCATTCAATGACCCGGGACGTTCAAGTTTGAACAGCAACAAGCCGGAGTTCGACTCCCCGCGTCCCACCTAAAAAAAGAATACGAAACCCTTTTCTTTTGTCTAGCATTTATCCGCCCGCAAGTTCCCGAATTCCACTGATATGAATGCAAGGAACGAACTAGGGGAAGAAATGGGACGTGGTGTACGGTGCACCGCTGGATTCAGTAGAATTGCATTCATGAGCTGTATACACTCGCAAGCCGGGGTTCGACTCCCCGCGTCCCAATAGCAGAAATACGTGCACTTTTTGTCAAGTATTCATTTAATTTTTTTTGCGCCGGGGGTATTTAGACTTGGGGGGAGTTTAGTAGTTTTTCTCCACCCAGAATCCCGCCGGCAGAGGTTGACTAGTTCAACATCGAACATTGCGTGTGTGTATCTCTGTTTGCACCAAGTTTGCACTGGACGCCGGTGGCAAGCAGCACCGCCACATCCGGACATCTCTCCGCCTTTGCTCCGCGTTCTGTCTCAGCAATTGAGCCTCAGGGCTGTACTGTGTCGACGGACTGATTCCCCTGGACGCTTCTTTGTTTTGGCCCTGGAGAACTTGACTTGACTTGGACGGCGATTCTGATATCCTCTGGCAGCAGACAGCCTCTATCCGGATTCGCGAAGCTCTTCTGACTGGGAGCGGAGATAGCACATAACATCTCCTCCCACTCCCACTTTCGTGCAATACACCACCAGCCATGCCCCCGACCCGCCACGCCCGCCGCGAGGGCCGCAACCTGCCCGGCCCCACCAGCGTCCGCGACTTCTTCAGTTTCAGCAAAAACCGCGAGCCGCCGAGCCCCACCGGCGTCAGCGAACTCCCCGACCTCAGCTTCCTCCGCCCCGACCCGCCCCACCCCGACGGCGCCAAGGGCTATAGCACCGACACCACCCCGCTCTTCCTCCGCCGGCCCCAGAAGAGCCGGCGCACGGACGACGTCGTGCAGCGCGGGCTCGACGCCTCGCAGCTCCTGCAGAGCATCAGTAGCTCGATGAATTATGAGGCGTTGCAGATTGTGGCGAGCAGCTGTGCGCTGTTGTTTACTACTGTGCAGGTGGGTGCTGCCTCTAGTGGATTATCGGTATTTATGCGGTGGCTGACGGGTAATTCATTGCGAATAGACGGTCCGCACGAACAAGTCGCAGTGCATCCAGCTGCTCGAGCGCGTGCACCAGATTGTGCGCTCCATCATCAATTTGTCCGGCGACGCGGCGGGGCTCATGGCGCCCGCCATGGTCCGCAGCATCGATCAGTTTACGGCGTGCGTCTCTTTCCCTGTCTTCCTCCTCTCGCCCTCCTCTCCCCGTCGCTTCTCTCGCTACCCGACGCCACCAGTGCTGACACCTCCCCAGAACCCTCACGCAGGTCCACGCCTTCCTCCGCACACAGGCCGCGCACGGCCTCTTCGCGCGCATCCTCCGCCACGCGGAGACGCAGGACCAGCTCGCGCAGTGCACCGCCGCGCTGCAGCAGGCGCTGGACTTGTTTGGGGTGAGTTTCTTGCGTTTCTTCTTTGTCGTTGGGATGCGTTTGGGGGACTGTTTTTGGGGGGTGGGTGTCGAGTCGTAGCGCCCGTGTATGCCACCCGCGTCGTCCCCGTCCTCTGTCGCTCTCGCGTATGCCACCCGAGGCCCTCGCTCCTCCGTGTACCACCCGTCCTTATCTCTCCTTTCCGCGTCTGTTCCTCCTTCCATCCGTTGCCTCCGTGCCTCCTTTCATATCATCCCCGTCCACTCTCGCCCCTCCTTCTCAATCCACCTATCTCCCCACCTCGCTCCTTCCCTCCGCCTCCTCCTCCTTTCAGCCTGCGTGTGCGTCTCCTTCCCCGGCGACCTATTTATCGCAGCTCCACACACTCCCCGCCTACCATCTCCGTCCCCCCTTCCCCCACCTTCTCATCCCCCGCCTGCTTCGTTCCTTCTCGGGTCCGAGTCGCAGTCCCGCTCCTCATTCCTCCTCCCGCTCCCACTCCGTTGCTCATGTCGTCGGCGCGCGCCCTCTACGTCCTCCTCCCTCCGCTCCTTCGCGTCCCAGCCAATGCTCGCCCCCGCTCGTCCTACGTCCCACGTCCCACTTCCCAATCGAAGTCCCGCTCCTTCCTTCTCTCGTTGATCCCTCCTCCCCCTCCCCCCCCCCCCCCCCCCCTCCGCTCGCGTCCCCCGCCCGTCCCTCTTCCCCTCCCGCCGCGCCCTCCGTCCCTGCCTTCGTCCCTCGAGCGTCCCTTCCTTCTTCGACCGCGTGCGATACCCATCTCCGCGCCCCTCTGCTCCTCCTCCTCCCCCACGTTCGCCTCGTCTGCCTCCCAAGTCCAGCCCACTCACCTTTTCATCATCGTCTCCCCGTCCCTCGTCTCGCCCTCCGCTCCCCCTCTCATCTTCCATCGTCCATCTACGCTTTCCCCTCCCCATCATAATATCCCGCTCCTTCCCCGCGTCTGCGGCTGATACGTCTCCGTCCCCTCGTCATTCACCTTGCCCTCCCCATCATGATATCCCGCTCCTTCCTCCGCGTCCGCAGCTGATGCGTGCTTGTCCCCCTCGTCCTCTTCCATCTCGTCCCATCTCCACCACCCCCCTCCACCCTTGTCCCCGCCCCCGTCCCCGTCCCCGTCCCCGTCCCCGTCCCCGTCCCCGTCCCCGTCCCCATCATGCTATCCTCATCCTTCCCCCGCGTCCGCAGCTACTGCCTGCGTCCGTCTTTCTCGATCTTCCCATCATGATATCCCGCTCCTTCCCCCGCGTCCGCAGCTGATGCGGCTCGTCCCCCTCCCCTCCCTCGTCTTCGGCTTCGTCTCGTCCTTCACCTTCCCCTCCTCCGCGCCGTCCGACGTGTCCGTCCCCGTCCTTGTTCCCTCCCCTCCTCATCTCTCCTTCCCCCGCTCCCCTCGCATACTCATCCCCCTCGTGCTCCTGCTTCCCAATTCCACCCCCTCCTTGTTGTCTCCCGTTGCCGTGCCATCTCCCATCTTCCCCCTCGTCCTTCCGTCTTCCACCCCCGTGCCATCTTTCTCTCCCATCCCCTCCGTTCCTATCCGTCTCTTCCGAATTCCCTCCATCCCTCGTCCCTCTTCCCTCCTCCATCTTCCGTCTTCCTTCGTCTTTTCCCCTTCGCGTGGTGTGGCTGATACGTGGCGGGACGGCGCGGGGTGCATGAGCTCTGCGGCGGCGGTGGGGTGTGCTCGCGGGCGGCGGGCAATGCGGCGGGGGGGTGGTGCTTGCGTGCTTGCGAGCGGGCGCGGATTGCGTGGGCGTGCCCATTTGTCGCGAGGAGGACGAGGAGGCGCGTGCTTTGGGGCTCGGCTTGCGCGGGGGCAGCGAGTGGTGCGCAGGCAGTGTGGCGGAGAAGGGCGCGAGCCGGGTGGGCTAGACTTCCAAGTCGAGCGCCGGTATAGCGCAGAGAGCGAGTGGTGCGCGGGCCGTGTGGTGGAGAAGGGCGCGAGCCGGGTGTGCTTGAGCTCCAGGAGGGCGTGCCCGTTTGTCGCGAGGAGGGCGCAGGCAATGTGCAATGCGGCGGGTGCTTGTAGCTAGGGTGCTTGTGGGGCGTGTACGGTGCCCGGGACGCGGTGTAGCGAGCAGGCGTTCCTTGCTGGGGCGCGCGTATGTACGGCGGCTCCTCGCTTTTCTTTACTTCTCCCTCCCCTCTCCCTCCTCTCTCCCTCCCCCCCTCCTTCCCCCGTACTAACCCCCTTTACACTACAGGTCCAAACAGGCCTCATAACGCACACGGGCCTCGGCGGCCTGCGCAAGTCGGCGGCGGATCGGCACGCGGAGGTGTTGAGGGCGCTCGGGCGGAAGCGCGAGGGGGGGTTATGAATGGAAGGGGGAGAGGAGAGGGGTTGGGGGAGGGGGAGGGAAAAGGTGGAGGGGGAGGGGGGAGAGGGAGTGGAGAGGAGGGGATAGGGGGAAGGTGGAGGGGAGGGAGAAAGAGGAAGGAGGAGGGAGGGGGGGAGGGGAGGGGAGAGAGATGGAGGACGGAGGAGGGAGAGCGGAAGAGGGTGTCGGTGGTGGTGGTGTCCGCGCCCGCGCCGGTGAAAGACCCGGTGGTAGTCGCGGAGTTCGTCGTCGCAGGGAACGCGTCCGTCGACGCTGTGTCCGGCGTCACTGTGCGTCGTCGATGTGTCCGTGCCCGCGCCAGTGTAGGAGGCGGTGGTGCTGGCCTCGTCGGCGGTGCTGTTGGCGGAGGCGATGATGCTATTGTAGGGCTTCTTGAGCCTTGTGACGTCGTTGCATGTCTGACGTTTTCAGGCTTGGGTCGGCGACGCGCGGTACGCGGTATCCCGCTTCATCCTGTCGACGACGCGCTGTAGCTTCCCGTGTGGTGGAGGCAGAGGAGGGGAACGTGGCGGAGAGAGGCGGAGGAGAGGTTCACGGAGGAGAGCGTTGGGGACGGATTGGTGACGCCCACATGGACGCACCTGCACCACGACCGCGGCGTGGCGATACCATATCCAGCGACGGCCCGCAGCATAGTACGGAGCACGACCGTACCACACCACGCGCTATCCACCGCCGTTTTATCCCGAAATCGAAGGCACGCGGACCCCGCCCTCGCGCCCCACCTTCTTGTCTGCCGCCTATCCTCTCGCGAGTCACCAAATCGACATCCGCTCCACGCGTCTGCGTCATAACGCCGTCTACTCCATATGGCGCCACGCGATGTCCTGTCCACTTTGTCGACGAAGTCTGTCCGTCGACCAAATCCGTCCGCTTCGTCGAGAAAATCCGTCCACTTCGTCGACCCGCAGGCTGGTAGCATCGACGCTCTCGCCGCGCGTACCACGTTCTTCGCCCACCCTTCCGCTAAAGTACGTCCGCGTCATACGAGTCCATCCGCGACTTGCTGGTGGAACTCTGTTGATGATGTACGTCGAGGAGGGGATGCCGACGACGATAGACTGAAGCTTCACCGAGGACGCACCACCATATGCATCTTCTCCCCAGCCTGTCCGTCGACACTCCGTCCGCGATTTGGCCGGGCTAGAAGATCTCTCCTGCATCTTCGACGTACATGTACATCAAGGAGCGCCGTTGGCCCAACTCTGCTTCGACGACGGATACGATTAACGCAGTCGCATCTAGGAGCGCGAGGGGACGTACACATCGTCCCCTTGCCCGGCCTTCGTGATCTGCGCGCGCGGAATGCCAGCACATCCCCAGCTGGTGGCATGAACGCAGGTCTTCGAAGTCGAACACCGTCCGTCGAGGAGTGCAGCGTCGATTTCAGTGGATGTCTGC